ACCTTGTTATAGTTGCATCATTTCTTTGTTCTCTGTAGCAGGTGATGTCTCCTCTGCCTAAGAAGATATTGAAGCAATATATTTAGCTTGTAGATTAAAAAGGATTGATACTGCAATATCCTTTACTACACAGTTATGACATTGATTGAAAATAACAGTCAAACATTCCTGAGAGTGAACAAAGGTCATGGGATGATGCCGTCAACTGGACAAGGAAAGCGAGTTTACTTGTTGGATTCCAACGTATTTTCTTTAGCCAGTTCTACTAGTATATCACCAATTGAAGAACTAGTTTCAAGATCATCATGTTTAGTTTGACAGAAGTCTATCCACAGAGAACAAAAGTTATGGGACTGAGCATAGCCTAGCAGAAGCAATTGTCTTTTCATGTGAATGAGTAAGTTTATTGCATTTTATTATAGTTTATCAAACAACAAAGGTTGTTTTCATTTTTACCACGTTTTTCAACTTCGTTATTTTACATACACTAATTATATAATTATTTCCTTAACTGCAATACACTGCCACAATTCCATTCGATGTTGGACAGAAAACTGACCAAGCTAATGCTGCTTGCTATGTGGACAGTAATCAAGTAAGTTATTTAATGTGTGGACTATATTGCCACATTATACTGCATGAAACACTATACTTCATCCATTGCAAACCACAGAACACCACTTGTGTTTTTACAGATGTACCATTATTCCCTTATACTTATGCATTCTACTGTTCCTGGGCTCAATCTGTCCAACATCAGTATAACTTTGCCATGGAGCATCAATTGATAATTCCTGCAATATGTCCACCCTAATGATAAGTGCCTTCATTCTGTGAGTGACATCACCTCAATGCAGCTGAAGATCTATTTCTCCTCTCACATCTCGCTGCCACCACTTATCAGAAGAGAGGTTGGAGAGATTACTATATCACGAGATCTACCAGTATCTGGCTAATCCTGTCTCATACAGGAACTCAATATCCTGCCCTTTTTCCCTCGCACATATAATGTACCAAGCCTATCCATCCTGAAGAGAACAGGGCTGACCACTAAATCTTTCAGCACTTGTTTTACACGGTGTTCCACAAATCAGCAGTATGAAAACCATGTGTGCCCAGAAGAGCCCTTAATATTCACAGGAAAGCAGTGTGTTGCATCACAGCACTGAGATAAACATTTGGCTGGTTAACCCTTAGCATGGCTCTAGCTTGGTATGGTAGAAATACCTGGGTAGAATGGCCCACCTATGTTGTAACTACAGTAGCTGTCACTGCAGGTTTCTTCCTCTCCTGTGACTGGTTCATATCCTGATACCACTGAAACGCCTCTATAAGGATGAGGATATTTCTCACACCAATGTGATGCCTCGTCATTTTGCCTGAAATTCCCTCAACAAACTCATCTAGAAGGATGTCTTCCCAATCTGCTGAAAACATCACAGGTTATGCTTCAACATGCAGATGGTATAGATCATCTGTGTAAGTGACCAGACTCTTGGTAGCACTTTTCGTCCAAGGCTTGAACTTTGCTTATATGGATTGTTTGATTTTTACATTGGGTCAAACTGTCAGTTCAACTTGGCCATGACTGTATCCCAGTCTTCCAATTGCGTCTCACTTAGGTGAGCGTTAAACTACTCCCTCTCGTTCTTGAGTAATTATTCTTCGAGTAAATACTATTATTTAAGTGAGAAGCATTTCTTTAAACAAAAGCGCCATATTTGTAATGATATGAGAATATAAACAGAATAAAACAAGTTTCGTTAAATCGGGCCACGGGTTACCGAGTTAGCGCCGTCTTTCAGGTCACCTTTATGAAAATTTTCAGCATGAGTAATTTTACATCACACTACCGTTCGCGCTCTTTACGAAACTTCAAATCTATTTCTCTGTCAATGTTCCTATCTTCTTTGAAAAATGAAATGGTCTTTCCTTTTACTCCCGATCAACGATCAATATCTTTTCTTGAATTATGAATAACACGAATAGATTGAAATATGTAATTAAATTATCTCAAAATAAACCTTCATTTCGGTGCAATACTGAAATTAGTTTGAATTCTTCATAACCTCTGAATAGTGGGTGACCCAACGGATCACGGTGGTTTAGTATAAATTTACCAGTTAAATATTTATTACAAACTCAAAAGAAATTCGTGATATAACTTGAATAATAAATAAAAAGACACATGTTTAAATGCCAGTATAAAGTTATTTTCAAGTACAAACAACAGCAAAATTAACTTTCATGATAAACTTTTCGAGAAAATTTTAAACCTTTTATTTTCGTGTTCTGCTAAGGCGCATATGTTGTTGAAGGTTATTTATTGACTTATATTGATATAGTTTATTGTACACCTACAAAAAGTATTGTTTGTTTGTTGTGAAACTTTCCTCTTTCAATTCGTAATTAAAATGTTAAATGTTTTACTAGATGGCGCTACACGACGAACAATTTATGGCGTACATCCGAATAAGACTATTGGCTCTACTATTTTAAAAACAATTTTGAGACTTAATTTGTTAGAAATAGAAGTTTTATTTGGATAGCAAAAACTAATGTTCGTTGTACGAGATAAAACCTTGTCATATTTCTTTGTTTAACTATAAGTACTATCACACTAAGCTTCTTTAATTAAATTGCAACTTTTACAAGATAAGTTATATGAAATTTGAATTTAAAAAAAGTTTAAAAAGTAATAACTAATTTATTTTCATTAAAGTAGACCGCTGTGTCGTTTTATAGGCTATTCTAGTATTATTATTAGGCTTGAACGTTCGGTTTTCACCTAATGGATGAACATGGCAGGTGATTACACATTTGATGAGGAGGATGCTGATGTAATTGAAGTAAGACAACCACGCCGACCAGAGGCAGAACAGAAGAAGAAGGAATTAAAACCAGGTAAGTTAGATTACAATTAAGTTAAAATGTTACAGTTTCATTTCATTCACAAGAAATAGACAAGACCTCGTCATACTTCATTGTGTAATCAAGAACTGTTAGTGTTAATGTTATATTTGATAAGTTTGCTGCAAGTGCAACTTGCAAGTGTAATAAAAGATTATCTGAGTGTGAAATAATCGTGCAAAAGAAAAAGTTGCATTTGATATTCCAAAAGCTTAAATCTTATTAATATAAGTATTATCCCTATATTCAACTTTCAAGTTTACATTTTAATATTTCTATTCAACTACCTATATTCAGATTGTCCAAACACATAATTTTAAATACTTGAACAAGTTGAAGCAAATCAAAATTTAAATTTCTCCTAATACCACAACTTTCCTATACCAGGTATTATTTTGTTAGCTCATATAAGTGGTCTTTTTTTTAACATGCAATCTTTTTTATGGTAAAGGCTCAAACTGCACACATTGCTTCAGATGAGGTCCAATCATGTATTACAGTAACCTTCTTACTTGTATTCATAATTTCCATTGACATGCCTTTCCTCAGCAGTGTTTTTTTGTATCAGTGTCACATACTTGAATGAAAACTTCAAGTTTTTACTAACAATTGCATTTAAATTCTTATCATTTGCAGTCACAATGTTTCTCGCATGTTAGAACTGAAAGTTATTTTCAAATATATCTCAAGTGCTTCACTTTCTCCACACACCCATGCTGTTTTGTGTTGGTCTGTGATGTGAGCCTTCACCAACAAACTATATTCTCTTTTTGAATGTCCACCCATGATAAAGCTAAACATTTTAACCAATCCTTTAGCTTTTAAGAATTGTGGACTTGAATAGGGATCCATTTTATAGCATTATTCTGCTCTTTTTTTTTTTCCTTTTTATAACTTTCAAAATAATTGTTTTATCACATACATAGTATCATTAGTCATTGTTTCTTGCATTTTTGGATGGACATTTTTTCAAAGGAGGTTGGCAATAAGTTTTTTGGTTTTGGTTTCTGGTACTTTGCTGTATTTTCACAAGTACTTTAGTTGTGATTGTAGTATGTGAATTACTGACTGTGTGACTTTAACTTAGTTTTTCTTTCTTTCAAAGGTGTAACTCCATTAAATCTTATCTTAAGTTAGTTTTGCTAACACTTTTTTATAGGTTATTAAGGATTATGTATTTTCAAGATCAATGTTCAAGATAAAGGACTTGGGTATGTGAGTAAGTTACTCTTCAATTTTGACTCTGTGATTAAAATGTGTTTAGGGTGAGTAAAATGCAACAAGACCTTCAAGTCATGATTTCTTTTGATAAATGTGCACATAAGTTTGTGGTGAGCTATGTTTTAATATTCTAATTTAAACATATGGCAAGAGAAAGATTTCTAGATTTGGCATTATGTGATTAGGACATAACTTATTGAATTTTGTTTAGACTTACTGATGGTGTGCGTTTCCTAGAAGTTTCATTATTATTTCAGATAGTGTTCAATGCTATAATTAAATTAGAAAGAGAGGGAGTAGGCCATATATGAGAGTTGTTTTAGTCATTTTGCGAGTTTAGTTATGACACATGTAAAATGTTCATTGTTGCTGCTGTGTATTTGTTGTTCATCTGTTTAGTTTTATTTGTGACTTAGGCCTATCATGAATGTAGCCTGTAAGATGTGTTATAGTTGAAGAAATAAATCAATTACATTATTATAAGGTGGCCTGAACTTTGCATTATGTTTACCAAATAATCAAAAACAACCTGTCCAATGATAGAAACCATTACAATACTAGTGTAAGAAGTGGTTCTATTTTGGTAAAAAAATAAAATGCAAGCTAGACTAAACCTCATGATGATGACACATACCGAACATGGGATCAGGCATTTGTTGTAAATGCTGAAAAACTGGAAAGCAGAATTAAGGGAGCAACAAGAGGAAAGAAACAGAAAATTAAAGGAAAGCCAGGAAGAATGAGACAGAAAATTAGGAGAGAGAGAGAGGTGGAAAATTAAAGGAAGACCAAGATGAAAATTACGAAAAAAGATCAAGAGATGAGTTACAAGAAAGATATGTAGGATTTAAAGAAGAATTATAAGCTAAAATATATTTATTGAAGACAAGATTAAAGAAGCTATTAGAGATGTGCAGAATTATTATAACCAAAGATATTGAAGTGATATAAAAGAGACATCTATTAAATTCAGAAAGACTAGTGACAGAATTGAAGAATTACAAAAACACCTTCAAATTTAAGAAAGACTAATAACAAAATTGAAAACATACAAAAGGATATCAATACCACAAGGTGTTTTCCTACCCAGTTCTCTCCATCTTGTTCTGATCCTTCCTTATTCAAAGACTCACTTGCCCTGTTCCCATCCCTGACTGGGATCTCAGTGTTGTTCAACACACTCTTACCTCTGCCTTTTTTGAGTCATTGGTAAGTTGCAACTACTACCAACTTTCTTATATGACATAATTCCTCTTATTTCTTGCTTTTGGTCATCTATGCTATTGACTCTTTCCCTACCCACTTCCATTATTCTTATATTCTTATTTATCTTGGCTGGTCATTCTTCCCTAAGTCTTCAGCTGCAGGGGACTGCTTCTTTTCTTTTATCTCCCTTCTTTCGATTTTACACCTTTGTGATCAGTTGGATCCTGAAAGACCTTTTGCACTGTTCATACGGTTCATTGCTACTGAGCTCGTACCTCTCACTCTTGTAGCTCCTGTCTTTGACTCTACATTCTCTGAGATTACTCTTTCTCTAGGGACATATGTCCTTCTACTCTTACAGGTAGAGTTTGTCAATTTCTGTGTTTAATCTACTCCTCATTGGGGGTCGATGCTCACAGACATTTCTGCATTTCATCCCATCAGATTTGTCACCTTACCTCATTCCCTCACCTCTCATTTTGAAAGCTGCTGGATGAGATCTTTCAACTTGACATGTGGACTACCTCTCATACCTTCATCACCCACTATCTTCACCATCTGGTTGTCCTGTTTCCTGACAGTTACCATCTACCCCTGTTCATTATCCTCCAGTTTACCCACCATCTTTAGACAAGTGAGTATGTTTCCTTTTTCTTATTACTGCATTCATTTATAGGATCCTGCCAGGTAGATATTGATATCTTCTAGGGTATACTTATATCCCAAAAATCCACATCAAACCAGAATAGCGGAAAGCAATCATACCATCTGCCCTGGCTCTATATATGCCCACTGTTGAGATGGGGTGTTCTGCAAGACCATTTGAGGTATCCTCGTTATATAATTATATATCTGACTATTGCCCGATCCAGACTATACCTATTCCATGGAACTATCATGGAGGAAGTCAGCACCAGTGGGTCTCTGCCTGCTTCCATGGCTTGTGCTTGTTGGATTTTCAAAAAATGGATACATGGTCACCTGTTACACTGTCTCCAGTAAAAGTCCTTTCCAGCTGAAACAAGAGTGATGGGGATCCAGGCATTTTCTCTGGTTCTCCCCCACTGTAAATTGTTACCCTCACTTTTTTTCCTTGAGTGGAGCACAGGAGACCCCTTGCCACTTACTGGGGGTGGACCATGGAGAATCCTCACTGATTGAGGCCTAATTGCTGGAGCTAGAACAAGGGGTGCTATTCAGTAGGAAGTGGAAAAGTGGTGACACTGTCAGTGTAGCACAGGTTGCCTCTAATATAACTGTACTTATAACATATCACTTATGCCCTCCTCCTGCAGCCTGAGTCTGTACAGTTGAGGTGAGCACATCAGGCGATACTGTGCCATCCTCCTGCAGCTGATGTCTGTTCAGTTGAGTTGAGATGTGCACACACACTATGGCATGAATTATGTCCCTTCTTGCACAGCAGGTGTCAGCCCATTAGTCTGGCAGTAGAGTTGAGGTGAGCACAAGGTACAGTCTACATCATTGTTATGCAGTAATGAAATTCACAGAAAATTTTATGAGATTAGGTGGAAGTTGCCTAAAGGCTAGTGGCATGCAAGTCTTTAAGGCAGTCACATGGGGAAGATAACTTATTTTTGTGGAGAGGGAATGAAAATGCTAATGTTTGAAGGTTTCTTCACTGGCCAGTGATTCAAAGATATTTCTAAATATTCAAAGGTTTTTTCAGCCAGCATTGAAGCAGTGTCAGCTTTTTTTTTCTCTCTCGTTAATAGAAACAGTTTGATAATGTAATATTAATCACACATGGAAATTAATACTTTTGAGGGTTTAAAGCTATGTTCACTAATGTGTTGTGAACCTCAGAAGGTCAAAAGCTATCCTTTGTAACAGCCCTAATAATGAGTATTTCCTTTGTCATGGGAGAATTGAATAAATTTGAATCAATTAATTATGGAAACATACCATTGCACATTGATTGTTTCACATTGTAGTTTAAATTTATAAAGATTGGGTGAGTCATTTTATACAAATGCTAAGTTAACCAAAGGAGAGGAAGTTAATTTATTAATATTATTATATTGTATTTCTAAACTCATAACTAAACATCATGATACCATTTACAGTAACATTTAGTACAATGTAAGACTTTAACATTTTTGTTTTAGGTTACACAGCAGAACTTAACACATTCAATTTTAGATTTACAATTTTAGTTGAAATCCATAGAAAAAGATACATAATTTTCATTCTAAATTATGTGTGCACTGAATAAAATATCTGTTCTTACCATTCTCTTTGGTTTCTAGTATTTTTTGTCCGTAAATATGTTTGTTTTTTATTCCTCTTCAGCTCATGATTGGGATCGTAGAGCTAAGCCACTTGAGCTCAACCTTGAAATGTCTGGCTCAATCGCATTAGAACTAAGCAATTAACTTGATTAATTAATATAATGGATTATCTATATATATCAATTAGTGTCATGTGTAATAATTGATTAATCAAAATTACAATGAAATTTATTAATGTCACAAAAATAGAAACTAGTTTTCCATTATTCTAACTATCTAATTAATTCAAATATTGCCATTATGATTTCTAATTGTTATTTTCAATTTGTTTAAGTTTGTTCAATTTGTAATAGGAATAATATCAAGTTTATAAGCTTGATTTTCTTTAAATTTTATTTTTTTTCTTTTGTACATATCTTGACTACTTTGAGTAGCATTTACTTGTAAGCCACTGTAGTGGAATGTGTTTCCACTAACCTATATGTGCAGATATTATGTCACTGCTTAGTGAGCTCTGCTGTTCCAATAATATTCAAACTAGTATTATAAATAACATAGTACCTAAAAACTGTGTTTTTTGCGTTTAAGGAAATATAGTATTATTGTTGACCATAAGCAGTACTGGCTATCTGTATCTGAAAAATACATGTTACTTTGTATTCTTGTGGTCTAGCAAGAACATATCACTTGTAATAAAAATAGGCCCTTATGGATAACAAAATGATTAATTTACCTCATGATTGTATAAAACTACCTTTCTTTGGTTTAGGGTTAGACTTTTTTTTTTGCAGTTTAAGACAAGAGGAAGCAGGTAAATGTGCAAATATATTTGGATATCCATGTATTTATATTTTTATTGATTAATATGTAAATGAGTAATTGCAGCTCCTAGTGAAATGTCAAATGAGATCAGTTATTCTTCATGAGACCAATAGTTTATGCATTTAGTGTGTGTTCTATGTAGTTTCTGATTCCAGGAAAATTGTTAGCAATTCTAAATTAGTGTTTACCACTTCTTCATTGTGTTATGAGCCTACGAAACATAATGCCATCTTAAAGAATGAAAAAAACAGGGACTAATCAGTTACAGTGAAAGAGTTATTTAAAACTTAAGCTTTAATAACATGTCATTTTTCAACCATTCATGAAGCTATTTATCATCATCTTTCCTCTTAGAAACATGGTCACCCTCAACTCTCAAATTTCATATTTGTTTTTTAGTCAGATGCTAGTTCTTGTTGTTCAGTGGTAGGTTACCATGAAACTTGTATGCAATTAAAAACTTCCAATGATATGAAGAAATACAACTACTTTTATCAACTAAGCTACCACCAGTAAGGCACATTTTAAACATTCAAGCTGGTGGTTATCCTAGTTTTATTTTAACAGGAAAGTAATTGATAGTTTTGCAAATAAACTGTTTATTGAAGATATTGCTCATAATTAGTCTTAGTTAAATTTAACATAAATAATGTTTTTCATCACCACGCAAGACATGGTGCTTAATTTTCCTTGCAGCTTCCTAGAAATGGAATAAGAAAGCAATCATTTTTTTGTGGTGGTTCCAAAATTATCATTAAAATTCAACATTATCAGCTCCAAAAGAATGTTTTTTTAGATAATCTTTTTAGTGGGAAAAACCACATTGGACTGGTAAAGAATGACATGATTTAAGTTTTTAACAGCTATATTATGATGTGTTATATATTACCTTGCTTCTTTAGGCATTATACACCAAAAGACTTGATATCTCATAAATGACTGACATAAACAGATTTTCAATTAAGACTTAGTATGTTATAACCCAACCAGTATAATGAGCTCTAATATTACACAAAGGACATTATTGGCAGCCATAGTGGAAACCTATATTCTAATTGGTAGAAAATTATGTGATTAAAATTATCAGTTTTATTGTTATGTAATTTTACATGTATTGCCTCTAAAATAAACTAACTATAACTTGAAATTATCATTCTTATATTACTTTTTCTCATTATGTAGAACTACCACAGAAAAAAAATTATTCCAATTATGTGCATAATTAGTTTGGATAAATAAGTTTTATTAAACAAATTGATCAAGAAATGTTTTATCTCAAATTGAATGCATTGTAACTGGTTGTTAGGGGGATCATTGGTGATTTCTGTAGGCAGGACAAAAGCAATAAAGATTTAATAAAAGCAGTTTTGTATTGTGCTTATATGTTTTTATGATGTAGTTTAATGTAATTCTAGAATGTAAATCTGTAATGTATGTGTAGTTTGTAATGTTTCTCTCCATGTTATCTCCTTAAAACATAGCATTTATTCTATAAATACATACACATGTACTAGATAAAAACTTGGATGTCATATAAATTGCAACCGACAACTATGAAGAAAATGTTAAACAATTCTAATTAAATATAATTAAGTTTGGGACTAGTTTATTTTAAGCATCCTTAACTAGTGGACCAGATTTTGCTGTAGCAGTAGGGTAAATTTATTTCTGATTTTGTTTGGCTGATTCAGTGTGTGTGTGAAATGGATGTTCTGTGATTTATATATACAAATGTTTAATTCAATAAAGTTAAATGTCACTATGTTTCTATTACTTCAATGATTTTGAAAATTATCAATATTGACATTTGTTTTGTTTTTTAAAAATTTAAGTAATTAACTATAAATTGAAGTTATTTTTTTAAATTGTTTTTCAGGTTCTCACGGTGGTAGTGGTAAGATAATACCTTGTCCAATGAATGCACGGGAGTTCAAAAGGAGATTCAGAAAAGCAGCTACAGTACCATTTAGCTTAAGACAAGTCTGCCCACAATCAATTTTGCAGCTAGTTAGCTCACATGCTGCATTGTTAGGTTGCAAAGAGGAGAGTTTTTTCTTTCCTTTGTTAACATGTGCAGCTGGCTGTATTGGACCTTCTACAGTAATTGAACTTACACCAGCCTGGTCAGAACACATTGTGTTATGGACACTTAGCTTAGCTCCAATCACATTAAAACACATCCATATGTTTGAGTGGCTTAATTCTCAGTTACGTGAAGTTGAGAACACTATCAAATCAAAATATCCTGTTCATATTCAAGGCACTAATCTGTCTTCATTTTCTTTAATTGAGTTTTTTGACAAGAATGGGCTACTACAGACTTTAAAGGCTAGTGGAGGGCATATGCTTGGGATCTATAGTCACCCAGAAATTCTACAAAGAAGCATTTTACAAACTGGGTCAGAATTGATGAGGAAGTTGAATAGTGGTTATCCACTGATTTCTAGTATAGATGGTCACCAGCTCTCACTAAATAGTGCATGTCTCAGCATCACTTGTGGATGTAGTCCCGAAGAACTCTATGGGGCATTTCGAGTTGAAAATGATTTTTTTGACCTGCTTCAAAAATATTTCCTCTTTGTCTGTGCTCCAGAAAGAAAGTTTTCTTTTCAACAGATGAATGCACACCCAATGATAGATATTGTCAAAGTGTTCACAGTTCTCATAGAACTTCACCAAAATGTCAAATTAGTTTACAAGTTGAACTTTGAAGCACAGGAATACTTTTGTAAAGTTTGTGAAGAATTTATTGAGAAAGGTAAACGATCTATAAAATCTAATATTAAGGTTTTCTTACGCAATACAGTCTCCTATTTAGCAAGACTGTGTTGCATTCTTCATGCTTTAGAAGGTGCAGTTGATCATGTGATGTGGAACTTAACTCCTGACCCATTGACTTGGAATGTTGAAATATCATCTAAAACAATAAAACAGGCAAAACAGATCCTTGATTTTCTTGTAGAGCAGCAGCAATCTTTATTTGAAAGAGAATCAGTTCCAGAGCCTCCCAATCAGTCAGAAAGTAATGAAACCTCTTCAAGTACTGCTTCTATTATTGCTGATGATGTTAATCGTCAGGACTCAACATACGTGCTTCAACAGAAAGACAGTTTTCTAGGAAACTGTAGTGAAAGTCGAAATAATACTTTATCCCATAGATCTGCAGGAAGATCTTGTGCTCGCTCATTATCAACACAGAATGGTGTAGATGTGGCTAGAAATTCAAGTGACATTCATGTTGAACCAAGAATTGTGAGTGTTTGCTCAGGTGGATTACCTGTAACTGAAGCATTGACAACTAGTGTCACTACTAGTTCTGTTCCAAATGGTACAGAAAGAGTTCTTCCAGCTCTGGATCTCCCATCAGATTTATCTGTTTCTGTTGTTGCAGGAGAGGAGAATGAACCTCGTAATGTTCCATCTCCTTCAGTAATTGAAATACCCCCAGATCAAGTGCCTACAAGAAACAAATTTTCCACAAGATTTAATCTTTCAAGTTTGCCACAATTAACATCTATATCACCTGCTGATAAACAGTTTTTAGACTCACACAGGCATCAAATATTTCGACTCCTTTCCTTGAAGGAATGGATTTTGACTCCAACTCGTGTGGCTCAGTTAAAAATATTTCCAGACAATGCAACAGGAAATGAATCTGGTAGGCCAAGGTTTACATGCAGTTTTGCTAGGCATTGTCTGACAAAGGTTGCTCGTCTTGGGTTTGGAGCTTGTCGAGGTGAAAATGACCAAAATCTCAGTAAATTTTGTTTTATGAAAACTGGTTTTGAAAAATTAGGATCCACAGAGAAAAAAATTTTAGATTTTCTTGGAATGAATGAAGAACTGTACAATCAGTCTTTTAATACATCTTTGCAAAATGGAAATGGTAGTACACGTGGAAGGAAAAGAAGTTTACAATCAACTGAATCGGATGGATATGTGAACAATTCCTATAGCCAAGTTCCTTCTCCAGGTGTTCAAGAAATATTGGAAATTGACAGCTGATTGGCCATAGCATTAAAAAATAATGCTTAAAGGATTTTTGTAACTGTGAAGGCTGTAACATGCCTAATGTTTTATCATATTAAACATGTGCTTGAACATTTTTATGTATTTTTTAATCAAATGAAAACTAATAGTGATCATTCACACATTAAAGAGTAGTATCATCTGATTGTGAATAAGTAAACGTTTCTCGTTGTTTTACCATAATTGTAATGAAGACTATTTATAATTAAAATCTTTTTCAGTCTATACCCTGTACTTCTAAAAAAAAATGTTAAGTGAAAGAAACAAAAAATATATTGCAATATTTTTGAATTAAGATGAAGTTAAATGGACAGTTTTCATTTTCTGATATAATATTATTGTGAAATAATTTGTAAGTGAACATAATCTTTGGTGATTGTTTATATTTATTCAAACTATGAAACTGGCAAGTATAGCATATCTCTCTCTCTCTCTCTCACTAATAAAAAAAAAGGGGTGGTAGTGGTAAGGCTATCTCTGGAGCTGCTTTCTGTAATCCCTTGCCATCTAAAACAGGCCCTTCTAGGTATTGCCTCCCCTCCTTCTGAAAATCCTAGACCTACCAGTGATGAATAGTTGCAAATATTTTTTATCTCTTTCTCATATGTAGCAGGTAATACCTGTTAAAATCCTTTAAGGTGAAAAGTTGGTAAGAAAGACTACAAATCTTAACAGTAGCTCTTATACTGTTATTAACATGGCTCTTATACTCTTCATTTTAAACACTACAGTGGTTTCTGTCTTTGGTCAAGGTGATATGTGAAAAAAAATCTATTGGCACCTCTTCAATAAATACTAAAAAATCTCCTACTTTATGTGCTAAATAAACATTGCATTGTAACACATTTTAAAAATTATACTCAGATTTATTTTATTGGTCTTTGTGATTTAAGAAACTAAACATTCTGGTTGACACCACATATTAAGAACTATTTCTGAAAGTTTTAAAGATGGGTTATTTTTTTTTAATCTCTTGTCTATCTGTTAGGCAATGAAAATTTTTTATAATGTTACAAAAATTTGGCCTGTGATACAAAGATCTTAATGTTTCTTTGAAATTTCAACCAGCAGTTTGCATTATAAAATCTAGAATTACTTATTTGTTCAAACAGTAGACAACAATCCATATACTTTTTTTATTTGGTGGTATCGCTTGCCTTACAATTTTTGGTAATTTTAGTGACAAACATTGTTCATGTATTTTTATTCAATCATTTTAATTTATAAAAACTAAAGTTTTAAAACCTCTGAACTGGTTCCTTATATATTAACATTTTTTTAAACCTAATTAATTAATTTAAGTTGTATTATCCATAGAGCTTTTCTTCTCATTAGTACATATTTCAGATACACGTTTTATGTGGTTTATTTGATCAGTCATAATTATCCATCAGGAATTATAACTTTTAAGATTTAATTTACTGTGATAAGATGTCATTTTTTGTGTTCTTTAAGTTTCTTAAGATAAAATAACATCATGAATATTGGTTCTTAGTTTTAATATACTTCTACATTCGTTAACTTACTGAAAATACATGGTAGCTGTGTTCAAAACATTGAAGACTACAAAAGTGAAAAGTTTGAATCCTTGAAGTATTTGAAAACATTTATTGTGAACAAGATACTACAAATAACCTTTAAAAAAACTGAAATAAAATCAAGACTTAGGTCACATTATAACTACATATTTATTTTATTACTGTTCAGAAACACTTCTAAAAATAATTCTTTGTCTGTATGTTATTGTTTTCTTTGGTTAGAACAATGCATGCCTTAACTTTACTTTTCTTGAGAAAGTCATGGATACACTTTACTTTGTGTTGTATGGCTTTTCTGGAGGGAAAAAAAAGGAAATTAGGACATATGTAGCACATTGATTGATAGAAAAATATAAAATACACACCTAAAAGTAAAAAATAAAGTTTAAATGAAAACCGACTGTGCTTAAAACCAAGAGTGCATATTTTGAGTTATTCATATAAATAAAACAGTGAAAAACTTAAGTCGAATAAAATATTTTTGCAGACCTTTATAAAAATAAGTTAACATAGGAAGAGCAATAAAAAGTAGGGAAAAGCAAAAGAATAAAAAGTGGGAGTGTAAGATATTATCAGAACTTTCTCTTGTAGTCTAGATTTATTAACTTTACTACTTGTAGTACTTATTTATGGGTTGAATAAAATGTTTTTCATTTTGTACAACTGTTCATATGTCAAACCTCATAAAAGCTGCATGATATATATATTTATATATGTATATATATACATGGGTTTTATGATTACTGTTAAGAAGTAAGCATAAAAGCAAAATGTCAAATGGTTACTTTGTTATTGTTTTGTGTTTAAACATATTGCCATTTTATATACAATTGTATGTATGTGATTATAATATAGGCACGTATTGTACATGATTTCAAAAGCAAAAATAAACATAGAAATCAAATTGTTTAATTTTATATAATTGATACTTGAAACCATCAGTACTTGGGGAAATTCCATAGTTACAGAATTGAAGAAAAGACTAAAGACAATTGTGTTTCACAAATACTTCATTTATTAATGACTCTGGTTTTGCCATTAAAGGCATCATCAGGTATTGACAAAACCATGGTCATTAATAAATAATGGCCAGGTGGTTAGGGCGCTCGACTCGCAACCTGAGGGTCGCGGGTTTGAATCCCCGTCCCACCAAACATGCTCGCCCTTTCAGCCGTGGGGGCATTATAATGTGACAGTCAATCCCACTATTCGTTGTTAAAACAGTAGCCCAAGAGTTGGCAGTGGGTGGTGATGACTAGCTGCCTTCCCTCTAGTCTTACACTGCTAAATTAGGGACGGCTAGCGCAGATAGCCCTCGTGTAGCTTTGCGCGAAATTCAAAACATTAATAAATAAAGTATTTGTGAAACATATATTTAACTTTGTTTTTCTTCAATTCTATTTAATTTCAAGTTTCTCTTGTTTAAATCTGTTTGTAGCTTAATCCAGAAGGGTCATAACTGTATTCAGTTTCAAAATAATAAGCTTAGTTTGATCTCTAATGATTATTTCATCATGAATATAATTCTACTATCCATGGCTATTACATAAGTGGCTACTGAGGATGCCTGACAGGTTGAACCTTTGAAAGTATTTGGATTTAGTTTTATGGTTGAAAAAGATTTCAGTGTAGGAATATTACAGAAAGTGAAAACTAAATACATTTTTCATCTGTTTACATGGAAATCTTTTATTTTGTTGCATAGTAATATTTCATCTGTGGTATTAAGCATTGTTTATGTCTTTAAATGTACAGCCAGGAAGCAGTGGAAATAAGGAATCATTAAGCTCTTCATATGATTAACTAAGGTCATAAGTATATGCTTATTCATTATTTACTTCTCAAAATAACCACACATCCCAATATTTATGTTTTGTTTAAATATTACATAATTCATTCAGGCAGCAATATTTTTATATCATTCTTGAGCAAGATGCAATCTGTACAATACCACAAACTAATGTTGCTCTTTCTGTTGTGAATGCATCAAAAGTGTGATAATCAATCCATTAGCATGAGTGGTAGGGCACTTTTAACTGGTTGCCTTCACTATAGTCAGGTAGTTCAAAACTGGAGATGGTAGCAGCTAACCTGGGTAGCTTTGCCATAAATAGAAATACAAAATACATCATTTACTCTAGGAACTCGTATATTATATCAATATTTTTAATTAGAGAGTTTCAGAGAACCAAATAACATTTTAAGAATCAAGACTATCTTTTAATTTAGTGAAGTATAATTTGCATTCTAAAACTTTACATTAGTTATTACTCAAACAATAGACAACAGTTTTAGTGTTCAAATATTGTTCAGACAGAACTCAAGTCAAGAATAAGGAGTTTATTTACTTCTTTGTAAACATATTATGTATCTGAGTGAGAATAGATGTAATCTGTATCAGAATGATTTTGAAATAATATCTGGATTAAGTGAAACTTATGCAAGTGTTTATTTTGAACTGGGAAAAGTATAAATGAGTTGCTACATTTTACATGTTTAAAATTATATAGATAGGAGGATTCTCAGAGTTTGAATTTAAAAGTTATAGTAAATAACTACTGTTTTTACTTATTCCAGTTTTTATCCAATTAAAAAGTTTTCAAATTTTATATGTTTGTATATCTCTGTTGAAATATTAAGTTGTCTCTCAAAGAAGTACAGTTCTTTTGTAAATTCCAAAAAAAAGAGCAGTGGAAAGGTCATACAAGAAAATTTGGTGTCATAAGTAGGAGTGACATTTCAAAATGACTACATGTAAGAAGTGAAAATTATGATGTACAAGGTGATGAAGACAACAGAAAGATAAAAGAATATGGTCAGAATTGTAGAGAAGTGCTCATAAAGTATAAGAAATGGAATAAAGTGTCAATGCCAAAAGAATTAAAATTAATTATTTTCTACTAAGTATTAATTTAGCAGAAATTCTCAACAGTTTCTAAAGAAAAGTCACTTAAAGCTAGGAACAATGAATGGTAAAGGATATTAGCTACATCAGAGCCAAACACTTGGAGGTTATCATCAAAGTCATTTGCTGTAAACAAAGAAAAGTTACCCAAAGCCACTAAAAGGATAGAGAAAGAGGAATAATGTTAATGTTTGTCAATCTATTTAGGAAATTTGAATTAACATAAATTGTGGAAAAAAGTTTAACAGAGATGCATGTAACTGTACAATTTGTGATAAGTTAATTGTTTTTAAGTGAACCCACAAAATCAATCCTATATCATTACTCTTGTTGACACTGACTCTATAGCCATCAGTATTAAGCTGAGTATTGTCATCAAGGGTAAGAAACTACCTTCACGTATGAAGCTATAAATTAGGACTGAAGGGTTCTGGTTAGAAAAAATCTAGTGGTCAAATTAGCCACCTGGTATTATTCATTGTGCCATAACATGTGGGTCATAGCCATGTAAAAAGAAAAGTGTATCTTGGAAAAAAAATTCATTTATTATTTCAAATAGTTTCATTATGTGATGAAAGAATCTCAGCTTACTAAAATACAGAGCTTGGTACTAGTTTTTGAGCATCTTTAA